GGGGGGGGGGGGGGGGGCAGCCCCCCCCCTAATAATTTGCTAATAATCATTCTTGTTTCAAAATCATGCAGACATTTATCAAGTTTAAGCTTTATTAATTTTAAGCAGCTACATTATCCATGACAAACTGCAAAGAATGAAGATATTACCCACAGTTTCCTGCAACTTATCCTAGTTATCCAATATATAGTTAATTAAATATACGCCTTCGCCCACTGATTAGTACTACCAAATTGTAAATTTCGACATACTAAAACGCTGTTTTCTGACCATCAGAATGCTGTCAAATCTTCCCCAAAGTCCAGGAAATGGCATTTCAGAGACTCTAGATTCAAAAATTTCCCCGGGCCTTCGGCCCTCGCTATCAGCCCCCAATAAAAAAGAGCTTCCTATGGCCCTGAAACGCTACGGAAACGATACCGTGTGGATTGATAATAGTTAATTAGCATGAGGGGTCAAAAAAATTTTCAGTAAAAAAATAGGGGGTCATAATTTTTTATCAACTTTTCTCTCGGGGGTTCCAAGTTTTAGCATGGAATTAGACATCAGTTCCTCCGGCCCACCCCCCCCCCAGCTAAAAAATGAATGCTCCCTTAAAATATTTGATTTTGTCTAAAAGTACACTCGAATGATCACAAGTGATTTCTGTGTTTAATTAAAAATAATAAAATAATAATAAAAACTATTTTAAGGTGGTTCCCTGGGATTTTTGCATTATGTGCCTAGAGTGAATCCTGGGGGCCATCCCTAAAAGGGGTGGGGATTTGACAGATTGTGACATCCCTGGGGTGAGGCATGGGTGGGGTTTCTGAAATTGGTAGCTTTAGCCCCCCCCCCCGGATTTTGACTCATTCTCTCATTCACAGGCTTTTGAAATGCGCATGCCTGTAACGCCAATGCATTCGGAAAGATGGCCTCCTTTGAAGAAAGAAAGGTTTGTTTATAGTATCCCTTCAAATTTCATGTGATATTGATCCATCCACACATATAAAAATAATAAAAAATGTATTATAATAAAAATGGAAAGCATGCATTTTCATATGTCTATTTGTTTGCTAATGCTTTGTGAAAATTGGTCTCTCCCTTGATGCCCGAAGAAGTTATCGAAGTTGAGACAGAAAGTGATCAGAAAGTGTTCTAAGATTATAGCTGGGATTTTGACACCCCGTGTTACTCCCTGGGGTAGGGAATATTGTTACTTTTGACAACTGTCATTGTCCCTAGGGTGTGGATTTTTACATATTTTTTTTAAACAGGTCCCCCCCCCCCCCCCCCCCCCCCCCCCCGGGATTAACATTGATAGGTGAATAGACAATTCCCATAATATAGACTAATTTTAAAACTAGGCAAGGAGATGCAAATAAATCACCACAGCTAGAAAGAGCATACTAAAATTAGTAAAATTGCAAAGTTTGGTTGCAAAATGTTGTAAAATGCGGAAAATATAGCCTTGCAAAGTTTGCAAATTTTGTATACTTCTGTATTGCGTGCGGAAATTCCTACCACATTTGGGCCCAAATGTCGTAGGAATTTCCGCAAGCAATACAAAAGCATACAAAATTTGCAAAATTTGCAAGGCTATATTTTCCGCATTTTACAACATTTCGGAACCAAACTTTGCAATTTTACTAATTGTAGTATGCTCTTTCTAGCTGTGGTGATTTATTTGCATCTCCTTGCCTAGTTTTAAAATTAGTCTATATTATGGGAATTGTCTATTAATTACTACACTGACTATTTAATAATAGTAGATCCAGAAAACTCCTGTTTCTTCACTTCACATGCCATGAAGACGAAATTTATTGGACACATTGACAATGCTCTTCTAAACATTGCAATTTGCTACTTTTGTGCTGAATGTCTGTTACCATGGCAACAGCATGCTTAGGATAAAGCTCAAAATTTGTCTTTTTCTGGCCATTTTAAAAAATTTTCTTCAGTAAATTTTTTTTAAACTTTGCATAAAAGATAATTCTCGTATAATGATTTTCTCCCCTTAATTTTAAAAAATTATATCGATATATATATATATATGTTTCTTAGAAAATTGGGTCGTTCCAGAAAAGATCCACACTCCGGAGCCCCATGCACGGAGGAAATTTCTGATAATAGTAAATGTATTGGGACATCCGAAGGTGGTAGAGGGGTTAACTTCCAATTTCCTCTTTGGGGGTGGTATGGATGTTTTCTGGAATAACCCATTTCAAAAACGTCACAAACCAATATTTAAAAAATTCCCTTAGATAAACTTTTAAGAAAAAGGGACATTGAACTTGTTAAGTCGATATTAAATTTAAAAATGTGCAAAGTTTTAAATTAAAAATTTTACCTTCTGTAAAAGGTTTAATTTTAGCACCCTAGGGAGCCACCTTAAAATAGTTTTTATTATCATTTTATGATTGTTAAACACAGAAATCACTTGTGGTCATTCTTGGTCACTTGTGTGTACTTTTAGACAACTCCCAAAATATTTGTCTGTGTTTTCAGTTAGCTGCCCAAATTTGGAGCTGTGTATTCGCCATAGCGGAATATTGAAAACAAATATACCACATTTGACGTATTTAAATTTCGTAGTATATTGAAAAACAATGTAACACGCTATGACTTCACGCTAATTTATGCAACTTATGCTTCCGAACACTGTACAGTTATTGTTGTTCCATTTTCAGCAGCTTGGCCAACCTCGTACCCAGAGTCTTTCCTCTTTGGCGAGGGGAGAAAAGACCCTGGTATGCAGACGCCGGTAACGTGATCTGCCAAAATCTAGCAGATTTTTAATTAGCAATCCAAGATGAGGTCAATAAATATTTGATATTTGGATGACTTTTATAGTTTAATTTATAATTTGCATTTTGTACGATTGTCGTAGAGGAATCCAATTATCCAAGATAGTTATTTAGAAATCTGCTTGATTTTAGCAGATCACGTGACCAGCGTCTACCAGGTCTCTTCTCCCCAAGAGTGAAGACCCTGGGTACGAGATTGCAGCTTGGCGTCTTCTTGAGTCCGAAATATTTACAAATAAATAATAAAACAATTATTGAATTCGGTTCTCGCAGGATATTAGGAATTATTTAAGCCTTTGGAAGATGACGCAAACCTCGGCCTTAATCATTCATCATATCCTACTCGATCTCATTTTGAAATTACCATATTATTTTTCGAATAGTTATATACAGTATCATGCGCATTTAAGTTGCTGTGCATACATTGTGTAATAAGTACGATTGCTTTTAGTTGCAACTGATTAAGCAAAGATGACTATACAATTACTTTATGGTTTCCGTGTTTAGATGGCCTGATTGCGCGCTTTTCTTAATTAACTCGAGCAACATTCCCAAGTGTTTGGATCAGGCCATCCATAAAGTAATTGTTTTATAAAATAACAACTTTCCGTTTGAAAATTTCACTTTAAAAAACTTTCACTTTAAATTTCCGTGTTTGGATGGCCTGATCCAAACACGCGTTTCGACCAATCAGAGCACGCGTTACATACATGTTATTTTATAATACATCTTCTAAATCTGCCAGCAAAAGATGACTACATGATACATCTTTCTGACACAAGAGCATGCACTAAAAGAATTAAGCCATTAATATTACGACAGCATTTTTAACAATTTATGTCTCAAAGTACTTTAGACTGCCATACTGTCATTTGATGTGCTTTGTCAGTTCTGGGTATATTATAGTAAGCCGTACTG